AGAGCAAGGGATGTTTGCATGGTTTAAAGGTGTGAATTCATTACTTTATCCTTTCTCCATATCTATTCATTCTATATGCTGAGCAAGTTGTTTGAGAGGCTGGAAAGTGTTGAAAAAGAATGTGGCCTCAGAATCAGGGGAAGACTCCTCAGCAATCTGCATTCTGCAGATGACAACCTTGTTTGCTGAAAGCAAAGACGAAATAGTCATTGCAGAAATTAAAGACCTTCAGTATGGATTACATCTTATCATTAAGAAGACTTCACCACCGGTCAAAAGATTGAAATCAACAACTTCATCTTGCTTGTGCTCCAGTCTTAACTGTGATCCAAAACCAAGACTCTTAGAGCCAGAAGTCAAGAAATCAAAAGGACCTCTCCAAAGTGTATGGGGTAATGATGTCAGTTTAAAGATTAAGATACATATGTATCAAGCTATTGTGTTTTCAATTTGTTATACATCTGAAAGTTGGACAGTAAAAGAATAACAGAAGAATCATCAATACCTTTAAATTGTTGCTTTGGAGAAGAGTGCTAACTATCTCATGGACCAATGGACTAAAGAATAAACAAATATGTGTTGGAGAAAATGCAGCCTAGGTACTCCTGGGAAGTAAAGATAGTGCAGTGTTTTCTCACATATTTTAGGCATGTTTTGTAAAGAAGAGAAAAATTTTCACCACTTGACCAGTAAGCAGCATTATGCTAGGCGGGAAAAATAAAATTATCAGTGATTTCATCTTATTTGGATCCACAAATCAGGAGACATATAGTGTTGAGCAAGTCCACTGCCAGAGACCTCTCCAGATTGCTCAGGAACGATGATTTGAATTTGAAGACTAAGGTGTACCCAATTCACACCATGATCTTTTTAATCATATGGAATTTCTATGACTCATTTCTTCTTCTGTCATCCTTATTCACTGTCCAGCTCTCAACAGCCTACCAAGTGATTGAAAAAAAAAGATCATGGCATGAATTGGGCACACCTTAGTCTTGAAACTGAAATCATGCCCCTGAGTCATTTGGAAAGGTCCCTGGCAGTAAACCACTGCTTGGAATATACCCCGAGAAAATGAGAACTGAGGCACAAACGGAGACTTGTATGTACACCAATGTTCATAGCAGCATTTTTCTCAAGAACGTGGAAGCAGCCCAGATATCCAACCACAACTGAATGGATTGAAAAGTTATGGTACATTTACACAATGGAATACTACACAGCATGCATCCACTTCCTAAACAACATGTCTCCGGAAATTCTATGAACTTTTGATAAATGTTGTTAATTTTAGAGGAACCTCAGGCCTTTTTGTTCATAGAGGGTCTCTCTGAGTCATGTTTGACTTGAAGGCAATCAATTTGGAGGGACTGGAGAGCATTATGCTGAGTAAACTAATTCAGACCCATAAGGACTAATACAGTATAAAACCATTGTTCTAGAATGAGCGTGAAGATCCAAGGGAGCTGAGGGTGGAAGCAGGGGGAGAGGGGCGGGATTGTTTAATTGGGGGGTAGGGAAATGGGAAGGAACTGGTATGAAAAACAGTATATTCGAATTTTATAAATAAATTATTATACTACAAAAAAGAAGACTTGATGCCTTTGAACTGTGGTGTTGAAGAAGAGTATTAAATATCCCATGGACTGCCAGCAGAGCAGAGTCTTTGAGAAGGTTCAATCTGAGTGCTCCTTAGGGGCAAAGATGGCAAAGCTTTTTCTCTCATTCTTTGGACATGTTGCTAGGAAAGGCTATTCCTTACAAATGGACATCTTGCTTGGAAAGGTGGAGGGTCAGAAAGAGACAAAGACCCTCAATCAGATTGGATTGACAATGATTGCAGCTGTAGGTTCAAGTGTATTAAAAATGATAGGATAGGACAGGTTTCAAATCTATTCATAGGGTTGCTGTGATTAGTATTCGATGGCACTTAATAACATTTGAAATCCTACTACAATTAAAATCATGATTTGTTTGTCCTTGACTGTGTTTTATGTGTTGTGGTGGGGCCAGTTCTTAAATATATAATAAATGCTCAGTAAGTACCAAGTGAAGGAATGAAGAATGATTCAGAATGTATCTTGGAAATAGTGCTCTGCCTCAAACTATGATAAGTATCAATTAAAGACGGTTCAGCTGTACAGAATTGTCAATATTCAACTATTTTTGACCAATGAAATGCAATTTCTGTGCTGAAAACCAAGTTTATCTGGAGAAACATTCAATTTATTTATGTGTATGCTATATTAAATTCAAACTTAATATTAAAAATTGTGCACATTATATCTAGTCATTTCTGTATAGATTTTCTTTTCGTGCACAAGACCACAAAAAGTAAGATATGTAACTATTGATTCATTCTGTGGTACTAAATGGTATCC